ATATTCTTTTTGAAGAAGACAAGGTACCATGGCACCGTGCACCACTCACGAGCCGCCACTGATCGAAACAAAGATCTGGACAATATGATCGATATTCAAATTGATCCTGTAATAATTAATATTAACAATTAGGACGATGAAGTACTTCCAGCGAATAAAGTATTATGGAAAGTATGTGCACTTCTTTCTATAAAAATAATCATTTATTTTGTTAGATTATTCCAAGACCATTGAGGAAAATACGGACCTGTACAACCTCGCTTTTGGGCATGTTGTGTTTTGTCTGGACGTAAATAGACTAGGAATAGGGTATAGAAGCGAGGGTAATATATTTGGCGCCATCTTTTCAAGATGCCACCAGGACACATTGATAAGTCATACTACTGAGCAGGTTGCGATTTCCAACGCCCTAGAGCTTCAAAGCTACTTCACCAATTTTGGAACTAGTCTATTTTAGTGATACTTCACTTTTGTAATGAGAGTTGGATATCGAAATGCTTTGTATTATCCTTTGATACGAATGAGCCAGTGTAATGAGCGGAATTCGGATTTCTCACATTTCGATCTCATTTTACCGATTTTGGAACAGCTTTATTCGAAGAACAAAGTACGCGCAGATCCTCAGGAAAACAAACAGCCCGCTGAGCACCCCAATATCTATCAAGTACGTGTTCATGTCACCGTTCATGCTCATCTGGTCCAAGAATTTCTTGGGGTACTTGAAGTGGCAGTAGTCGATCTTGCATTCAAGCTTCCCTCTGTTCAGGCCGTAGATGGCAACCATGCTGGCTTCGAAGCCATACTTAAGGTAGCTCATGTATGGCAGCCATTTCAGGTAGTAGGGAATGTCTTCAAGGTTAGCGAAGAAGCCTGAGAAAAGCACCATGGGGATAGTGGAGATTGGTCCTAGAAATACGCCTCCCTGTGGACAAATGCAGAGTTAACATTGATTTTGGTACTGCAACGAAATCGTATTAGTTAGCACCAGTATCGAATTGAATTCTGCATCTACGCATCCAATTTATCATCGAAATCTTCATAATCTCTGTTCAAATGGAACCACATTTGTATAAATTACTTTTAACTGACGTTTCGGCCACCACTGTACCCTTTTTCAAATTCACTATATTTTATATGAAAATACCGTTTTTATTGTTCAAAATCTACAACATCTTATAAGACTCGCAACTAATTTATGACATATTTAGGCTGAGCTACACTTTAGCGCATATCGCAAATATTCATTTCTTATTTTAAAATTGACTAGTTCGAATATATCATTTTTTCTTTAAGGAAGCCACTGCTTGCTATTTTATAGGCCGTCAAAGTTGCATTTTAGGTGGTAATACTCTGGAATAGAATACTGTTGTTGTATAAGCTGTTTTTTTTGCTTTTTGCACAAAAGGATGCTCTTAATAATAAGCACATGACAGAAACTCTATATTATTGTGACAATATTCATCGCAATAATACAAACTTGAATTATTTTAACGATGAAAATCGGTTAAATTGTTATTTTTAAGTAGGCATTTATTTATTTCAGATAAACATTCTCATCACTACACCACCATCACTATCATAGTTTCTCCATGTAGTTGCAATGTCGCCAAATCATGGATAGTTGGTATCGGCTAATGTAGTCAGACAAATGCGGCGCGCGAATTAGAATTTTATTTGGGTTGTCGAATCCTCACTTCTTTTTTGTTCGAAAATATCATGTTTACTTTAAGGAAGCCACTGCTTGCTATTTAATAGAACGTCAAGGCTGCATTTTCGGTGGTAACACTCTGGAATAGAATACTGTTGTTGTATAAGCTGTTTTTTTGCATCTTCATAAAATTATAAGCACATAACATACACTTTATATTATTGTGACAATATGCAACCCAATAATGCAAAGTTGCATTATTTTAACGATGAAAATCGGTTAATATGTTATTTTTAAGTAGGCATTTCTTTTATTTTAGATAAAAATTCCCATCACTACACCACCATCACTATCTTAGTTTCTGCATCTAGTTGCAATGTTGCCAAATCTTGGATAATTGGTATGGGCTAATATATTCAGCCCAGGTTTGTCGAATCCTCACTTTATTCTTGTTTGAAAATATCATGTTTTCTTTAAGGAAGCCACTGCTTGCTATTTTATAGAACGTGAAAGCTTCATTTTGGGTGGTAACACTCTGGAATAGAATACTGTTGTTGTATAAGCTGTTTTTTTTTCTTTTTGCAAAAAGGATGCTCTAAATTATAAGCACATAACATACACTGTATATTATTGTGACAATATTCATCCCAATAATGCAATCTTGAATTATTTTAACGATGAAAATCGGTGAATATGTTTTCTTCTTTTATTTCAGATAAACATTCCCATCACTGCACCACCATCACTATCATAATTTCTCCATCTACTTGCAATGTTGCCAAATCATGGATAATCTTTATAGGCTAATATAGTCAGACAAACGTCGCGCGTGAATTGGAATTTGATTTGGCAATTTTCCAAGTTCTTTATAGAATCAATTAGAGCTGAATATCAGTTGTAAACGCTTCTAATAAAAAGGCAAAAATCGCCTTTTTGAGGCGAATTGCTTATAATGATTTACTGAAAGGAATGGGGAGTTATTATCGATCGCCTCCACTTGCTGCTCCCTGGAAATACCATATGCTAGCCAAACCAACTATTAATAGCCATAATTTGAGTACTTTTATATGCACGCCGCTAGTGCATTTTTTAACTGTTTAGCACATACTGTTCAAAATTTTAGCTAACTTTCACTAAATATTGGGACATCTTCTTACAAAAAAGCCATTAACCTATATTAAAGAATTTGATTTAGCAAATAATCATATTCTTTTATTACATATTTCTCCAAAAAACTACTATTTGGCAACAATGGGCAGCATTTGTCTTACATGTCAAGGAATGAATGCTATAAAATGCCCCTTGAGAAGACACCTCTCCATAGTCTACCAACTAGTCTTCAAAACTGTTTCTTGCAAAATAAAGTTTTTTTTCAAATTTCACATTTCTTTGATTTTTCGCAAAAAAATAAAATTTTTGGTCTTTATGCGCTAAAGTGTAGTCTTACCCATACTTATAACCATGTCGTATGGACTACGTATGGTGACGCGTTGGGCGCTCTTCATCGACTGTCCTCCTTTCACTATCGTCACGCCCACATATTTTGAAATCGACCAATCGAGAATCTCTACAGAACATCGAACGCTCCCACTGGCAACCGAGTACCCGCTCGATCGCTCAGGCACGTGAACGCAATCGCTCTCGAAGCTCCGCAAGCTGCGATACGTGATATTGTAACTATGGTTGCCTAATTTTACGAGATCATGTTTTCGCCATTCAAGGCCATAGTTACGAGGGGGATGCATTATTCATTTGTATTCATGTGGTTCATTTGTTTATTTTTTTCTTTTCGCTGCTACTATGCTTTAGTGTGCTGTGACAAACTGGGTTTTCGCGTTTTTGGAGGACTTTTGGTACTTTTAGACCGATGAACAGAGGCCACGTGTCTGGTTGCCAGTCTGCAACGGAAGCACTAAGTGCCTGCAAGATTACTTCGAGCCTTGTATTGCTTTGGATCCCCAGAACGGAAAGGAGCTGGGACTCAAGGCTATATTCAACTTTGCTAGAAGGGCGGGGCTTGAGGTTTAAAGAATGTAGAGGTGGCCGGTATGCCTCTCATCTCGTAATTTATTTATTACATGGAGCAGTTCGCAGCTGTACTATAAAAACTTATAAAAACTGGAATTGAATGGATATTTTTTTACCTCAATATTGAAGGCAGCTCCAACTAAGAGGCCGTAGCTTGAGAAACTAGAGCTATGAGCACGGCAGAAAGAAGAAACATGCCGAATCTTTGTGCATCCAGGGGTTGCGAGGTTATGAAATAAACGCCGACCACGTAACACGTTGTCAAGATTATCTGAAACGAAAAATATATATTATTAAAGTCCATCAATATTCTATTAGTAGCGTTTTTGTTACCTGAAATGGTATATCAGCTAAGGTCTTAGCTAGATAGTACGCCTTTAAAGAGTACCAGTAGTTCAGATGTTCCCTTATAAAAATTGACATTTCCAAAGGAACTGAAATTAAAAAGCATCAGTTAGACTAACAGTTTTTGCTTCTCTATCTTTATATTTTCGATGACTGTCTATCTTGAATTCATACATTAATATATGAATTAAACGAATAATTTAGATAAGTAAGTAGAGATGATAAGGATAGTTTAAAAAAAATCAAAGGAATACTTACAAGTTAAAATGGTAGGCATCATGGCGGTAAACATCATGAACATGACACAGAAAAACAAGCATCCAGCATTACTCATGACTTTGGCAGCATTGTCGCCTATATCGTAGTAGATGAGACCAATGAGACATCCGATGATGAAGTGTGAGACCAATCTCATTCGGGTTAGTGTTTTGTCCATGAGGATTATATACATACTTCGTTTCAGTAAGATCACAAATTGTTGCCATCCCGTTGTTGGAAATCCTGAAAAAAATTATAAAAATATATAACGTAAAATTTTGAAAAAGTATTTCTTCTCTAAATTGTTCTAAAAAGGACTGTTTATACAATAAGGACTTGGCTCTGGTAATGCTTCGTTTTCCAGATACAGGGTAAACTTCATGAAAATTCTTTCTTTTTTCATCAAAAATCTTAATTATCTCTTAGACTATTCTATTAAAGCTTATGCAAGGTTAATGCTTTGCATGGTTATCCAAATCACCGCGGTTAAATCCCTTGAATTTTTCCATTTCTGGATTTGGGTTACATACAATATTTAACGTACTATTGATATACCAGCAATGGTTCCAACATTCTTTTCTTCAAATATATCATGAAACGCATTGAGTCGCAGAACATGAAAGCGTTGCCCCTTGCGCTAACAGTAAAAACCAGTATAATCCTGTATACATTTGTTAACATGTGTTTTGTGCTTTAAGTTTGGACTATTAACGATTAATCAAGTACTAAAATAAAAAGATGAATGTTGGGATACATATGTTCTGAAATAGTTAATGATAAAATTCCATAGATACGGTTGACTTGAAATTTGAGTTATTTCCAGAGCCAACAAATCCGCTGATGGGCCTTGATCCTTTCAGACAACCGGCTAGATGGACATTACCAATTTCAGGAAAAAAAACTACCAAAAGGAGAGCGGCACCCTGTATCTTAAAAAACCAAGCATTTATTGACCCATGAAAATGGAGAAGAATGGCGGAATCGCAAGTTTGTCTGATTTTGGGCCGTCGAGCAGCACTCGCATTACGTTACTAAAATCCCTATCAGGAATTACTGTTATATACAGGGTGGCGCATCGAAAACGAAACAGACGCATTTACTGGCAGCTCAGTGTTTTTTTTTTGAAAAACGCTCCGACCTGTCGATTTTGTTTTCGGGGGGACACAAGTTTGGCAAAAAATCACGTTAGCACGTGTAGCCCCCTAAGCGGGAGTGACTGCACCCCCAAATCTTAAATGGAAAAGGGGGTCGAGTGATACCTTATTTTAAAGGTCTTTCAATTCCCTTTATAATGATATAAAATTAATGTACTTCAGTTCAGTAGTTTCGAGGATTTATTGATTTAAAGCTTAAATAAAACTAATACATCATCATTAGTGAAGATCAATACATTTGGCAGCAAAGTAATTTAAAATGAAGAATGAACTGACCCGTTAGGCAAGTAAATGTTGAAAATGGCCACCATGACTCTCCATGCAATAATAAAGATTTTGCTGAAAACGTTGCCGGACATTTTGCAATATTTGAGGGGTAATTTGAAGGCACTCATTCACAATTCTTTGTCGCAGGTCTTCTAACGATGTTGGCTGAGTAGCATAGATTTTGCTTTTTAAATGACCCCACATAAAGAAATCCAAAGGTGATAAATCTGGCTTGGAGGCCATTCAATGGCACCTCCTCTACCAATCCATCGATCTGGAAACGTCTGATCTAAATATTGTCGAACACGTAATGCGTAATGTGGTGGGGCACCATCCTGCCAATCATTATGATTTTCAATTATGGCTGTTAATGCAGGATCTATGGCGTCTTCCAGTAATTCCAAATACATTTCACCGGTCAAATTTCCAGGTAAGAAAAAGGACCAACTAAATGATTGCCAAAAATACCAGCCCAAACATTTAATTTTTGTGGCTGCTGTGTATGAACCTCATGATAAATTCTGGGATCAGAATCGGACCAATATCGGCAGTTATGACGATTTACTACGCCATTTAAGAAAAAGGAACATTCGTCGGAAAAGCAAGTGTTGAATAGAAAATGTTCATCGTTTATAATGCGTCATATCTTCACAAAATTGTAATCGCCGCTCAAAATCGTCTTCATTACGTTCTTGTACCAGGTGAATTTTATATGGATGAAAACTATGGGCCTTTAGAATCCGTTGGACAGTACGTCGACTAACACCACTCAGAGTCTCCAATTTGCGGGTTCTTAACGTAGGATCTACATAAACTTGCCCTAAAACCCCCACTTCTATTGCTTCGTTATTAAGTAAATTCATTTAGTCAAATTTCTTCTGAAAGTAGTACAAACTAATCTGATGCACCTATTAAAGTCTACTTTAAGCTTTAAATCAATAAATCTTCAAAACTGCTGAACTGAAGCTCATGTATTTTACATCATTATAAAGGAAATTGAGAGACCTTTAAAATAAGGTATCACTCGACCCCCCTTTCTATTTAAGATTTTACTGTTGGTCACACCCCCGCCCAGAGGGCTGCACGTGTTAACGTGATTTGTTGCCAAACTTGTGTCCCCCTCGAAAACAAAATAGACGGGTCTGACCGTTTTTCCAAAAAAAACCTGAGCTGCCAGTAAATGCGTCTGTTTTCGTTTTCGATGCGTCACCCTGTATACATTCTATTTAATAAATACGACTTTATTAGATAACCACACATTTCTGAAAATAAAATACTACTTGCAAAACTTTATGCAGCTTGCATATACAACCTTTTCTTCTAGAAAGTAGTTTGAAAAAAGTTATAGGAGGGCCTATTTATAGCCGGACACCCTGTACACCCACTTTGACGTATTTTTATACCGTTATCACAGTATAATAATAAGTTGAATATGGATGAAAAACTTGCAAGGCATCATGACTAGGAATTTGAACAAGGTCATATAACGCAGACATAAATAACGTCTGCTTTAGATCATATTAAGCAGTTTTCACCTTGGAGTTTGGAAAAATGACATGCGCAGTTCCCCATACTTCCCGATAATTCATCGTAATCCCCTGTAATTCCCCATGATTCACCGTAATCCCCTGTAAATCAGCGCAATTCCTGTTAACTCCCCGTAATTCCTGAAAAATCGTGTTGTGTGTACAACTAAATCTCCAGCAAATGACCCCTCGAATTAAGCCGATTAAGTCAGTCAAACAGGCCCATACAATTAGTCAGTAGACATTTTTTTCCTGCCCTACCGGTAGCTACTGTCCATCTGGCAACGTTGTCCCTTTCACATCTGCGCGGCATCGCTAAAGCCAGTTATCCATTTCGAGCGTCGTCCGTGTAAATATTATTTCCGATGCAGTACGAATAGATTAGTCAGCCGGACCGGTGCGCCGGGCGCTGAGCTTTGACAGTAGGAGAGCGCGAATCAAAACATGTTTCTAACACTCTAGGTTTTAAAGTTAAATGTGCGAGGGAAAAAGGTATTATAGCATATTTAAACATGGTGTACTTCTCCACGTACCGTTTTTCTCAAGCGGCGTCAGATGTTCCGAGGAGTCCAATAAACTAGTGGTGCAAGTGGCAGGAGTAGTGGGGGTTTTGACAGCTGATCCATTTGGCAACGCTGCAGGTATGCCTCCTCCGCCTCCTCCTCCTCCCACGTCTTCGGGAGGCTTCAAAGGACTCGCTTCCTTGGAAATGTCATTGGCTATCAGCCGATTGCTAACGGCGGTGTCAAGAGCGAGATTCGCAAATTTCTTGCATCTGCCTGCGTTCACTGCTATCACGAGCTTTTGAAGGTAATCGCCGTGTTCCCCGCATGCCACCTCCATCACTAAAAACAAAAATTCTGGTTAGCTATACAGGGTGTCCCGAAAAAAGTGTGCAATAATCTACCAGCGGTTTCTAGAGCTTAAAATAAGAAGAAAAGTTTATATAAACATAGGTCGGCAAACGTCCCCTAAGGGCGCTACGGTCTCAATTTTAGAATTTGAAAATTTAGGGTTTTCTACAGAAAAAAAGTACTCTAATTGAATATCGATAAATTGTGCCGTTTTTGAATAAAATCAAACTAAATAATTTGTCACATGATAGGAAATGTATTGCGAATTTAAATGAATTGTTGATTATACATAGTTAGCCATGACTGCAAACAAAAGTTGTTTTGATTTATTTTGACGTTAAGCTGACATTTTTAGCAGTGTAAAATTACTAGATTAAAATCAAAATGTTCATTAAATCGATTTAAAATGCCAAGATTTACAGACAGAAAACTGACTGACATGCATTTTTGTACGGGTTTTGCTATGGCAGCCGTAAAAGAATATCAAAGAAGATTTCCCAATCGCATAGTACCTGGACGTCGAATGTTTACTGATATTCACCGGAATTTGTCAACCCATTCCTTTAAATATGTTTGAAAATAATCCGCAAATAAGCATACGAAATGTTTCAGAAATTATGGATATACCTCGATCAATAGTAAGAAAAATATATGAATACCTATTTGATAGTTATCCTAAAAATAATAATTTTAGATAGGAAGAATGACAAGAATGCAAGGATTACATCCTTATCATTTTAAACGGGTGCAGCGTTTAACGGAGACAGATTTTTTACCACGAATCGAGTTTTGCCAGTGGATATTAGCAAATGAAAACACTAGAATATTATGGTTGGATGAGTCAATATTTACTAGGAATGGTGCTTTTAATTTCCATAACATGCATCACTGGTCAGATGAAAATCCAAAGTTGCTCGCCGTACAAATTTCTAACATAGATTTTCATTGAACTTATGGGCAGGACTAATTGGGGATCAAGTAAGTGGGCCTATTGTACTTCCCAATCGTCTTAATTCAGAGGTGTATCTGAACCTTCTTCAGAATGAACTCATGGATATTATACCATTGGATGTGCACCAGCAGTTTCAAGAAAATATGTTTTTTCAACATGATGGTGCCCCTGCACATTTTGGACGCAATGTTTGAAGTTTGTTGAATGTCAATTTTACAGACAGGTGGTTAGGCCGAGGAGGTCCTATAGCGTGACCACCACGTTCACCTGACCTAAATCCATTGGATTTCTATTTTTGGGGGTCATTAAAAGACCTAGTTTAATTTACTGAAGTAAATACTCAAGAAGATTTACTTCAAAGAATCCATCAGGTTGCAAATTAAATAAGAAGAAAAGGTTTTCCACTTTTCGGGCTACGCAATCATTAGTTCGTCGAGCGAGACTCTGTATCCAACAAACTGGTAATTTATTTGAACACTTATTGTAAAGCTAATTTTAAGTATATCCAACTGTGTCTTCTTTTTTAATAAATTTTAATTTCGTTCGTAGAAAAAATTTATTTCTTTTGTTTTTGCCTAAATGTTAGCTATGTTGCAATAGAAATATGTATTTATGTAATATTTACCAATTATTAAATTAGTTTTTTCGTTGCCATGGCTAATTATTCAACAATTCATTTAAAATTCGCAGTTCATTTCCTATCATGTGACAAACTTTTTAGTTGATTTTATTCAAAAATCGCACAATTTATCGATATTCAATAAAAGTACCTTTTTATATAGAAAGCACTAAATTTTCAAATTCTAAAATTGAATTTCAAAAATAGAATCACACAAAAATTTTGGGGCTAAAATAACCTTAGTCCGTCCCTGTTACATACGCTTCCCAACAAAACTGTCTAAAATTGTTAATATTTTTAAATACAGCATAAAAAAACTAGGCTAGACTACCAAATTTTATGTCTTTATCTCAACACGTTTAGGAAATATTAAGGATTAACCATGTTCAGGGGAGCCCCTTTAAAAAACCGCAGCGCCCTTAGGGGACGTTTGCCGACCTATGTTTATATAAACTTTTCTTCCTATTTTAAGATCTAAAAACCGCTGGTGCAATATTGCACACTTGATTGATCCTTAGTTATTTCTAGTTGCCTTACCGAAAATGCACTGCATCATATACAATGACAGACCATGGTAGGTATTCACATTTTTGAAAACGCTCAACTCATTCAAATCTGACAGTCCACAGTAATGTAAGTAAAAAGTAAAAAGTAAAAAAAAAAGTAAAGTAATGTTGAAAACGTGAATACCTACCCAGTGCTCGGGTTCAAATTGTTTTGATTTCGAGAATACTCTAGTCTTATGGCGAAACTGCTATTTGCACCAGTTCAAAAATGGCGTCAAGTAGGTTGACTCTGTACTTCCTACGCAACGCCATCATCCGTTCATAAAGGATTAAGTTCAGTGCAATTTAAATCTTCCGAGATTTAAAACATAAACAGCATAGGAATTGAACAGATGAAATCAGTCAAACAGGCCCATACAATTAGTATTTAGGCATTATTTCTCTGCCATATCGGTAGTTACTGTCCATTCCTACATGACTTGAAATGTAACTATGATCGTTAGCACCAATTTTGCTTGTAGCTTTTTTTGTATGCGCAGGAACTTTTCTAATAAAAGAGTTGAATCCGTAAAGTACAAAAGATAACAAAATTCATCTCTATCTACCTGGCGCTAACGGATCCTTCAGAATTGTGTGTCACTTGTCGATATTTTCTACCGTAATGGATACTCGTGAAAAAGGCAGTACAAAGAAAAATTGATCACCCTCAAAACAAATTCTATGGACGTGTTGATGTCGGAAGCAAATATTCAGTATCGTCTTTTGCATCAACTTTTCGTCTTCTAAATGTAAGTTAGAGAACAACGGCTACACGTTTTCTTCACATTTTTGGCAAACAAAGGTCTAACTTGACATGTGGTTTCAAAGTTTTTCTAAAGACTGTCAATATCTAAGCGGACAATGTATGTGTCCCCTTCGAGAAAAAAGTTCATACGAATGAATGTCCGTAACGTCTTAGCTTTTTAGATACAGGATGATAGAGTTTTCAAAAAATGATAATCAGCGACTTCTCTTAAGATAACGAATAAACTTAAGTTTGTATTTATGAACGGATTTGATCTCTTGAATTTGTTTAGTCGGACCCAGCATTTTCATTTAAAAATGTCTCTGCACCATCCAATATGAGCCAAAAAAAGGCAGGTGGAATTCCTTACGAACGTCACTGGTGGAAATAAAAAAATTCCTCTTGACACTACATATATGCCAAATTTCATTAAAATATCTAAAGCAGTTATTAATGATATCAATAATAAATTATTAATTTTTGAAAGCTGAACCACCCTGTACGCTAAAAGTTAAGACGTTCAGGACATACGTGCATATGAAGTTTTCCTCTTAGAATGGACCCAGGGATTGCCCGTTTAAATTTTAAATGTTGAAATACAATTAGCAAACTCCCTGTAGCTGCTTGAGCTGATAGTGGCGGCGTTCTCATTTAATAATAATACTTATAAACCGTCTTTATTGATTTTCATAAACAAAGAAATTATGATATAATATAGCACAATATCTGTGGCGTAATCTAGATAGCTATTCTACTTAACCACTGGAAGGCAGGGCCCAAATAAGTAAACTATTGGAATTGTATTAAACCAAAGAATCTAAAAATTAGACTAATAGAAAAAATATATGACAAATGAAGTTTTCCAAAAAGAGTTGAGCAACGCAGGCATTCGCAAAGAAACATACCTGTTTTTGTTATGCTTTTAACTTTTTACTACCATACAGAATTTACTACGCCAGCGACAGTAAACTTATGTTAAAAAGAGACCTAAAAACCTCTGGTATCCACCTATAGCCATCTATAAACAATAATAAAGAAATAACAAAGAATTGAATTTAAAAGTAATATTATTATTGATGCTACTGCATATCAAACAAATAAAGTTTTAACTTGAATTTAAACTTGTTCATGTTTGGAAACTTGAATTCTTGTGGAGGCTGATTATACATCCCGATCGCATGATAAAGGGTGTCCCATAGGTAATGGTAAAGAATTTAACAGCACATTCCATTCAAAGAAATATTGAGATAAATTTTAATTTTCTTTGTCCGTAAGTTAAAGGTCACCGAGATACAAGGTGATAAACTCGTTGTAATTTTTAGAATTGTTAATTTGGCATCTATTCTTCCTTTTTCAACTAAATTTGGCATATGAGAGTTTTTTATATGACAATCTAAGAATCGGTCTATTGCAAATTGTCTTATAGAGCGCGCCACCAGCAACATTCTCTGTTTTTTAAACTTCGTAGCCTTTTACGCTTGGTATAATTCAATTTTTTATTTAAAATACTCATTTTGCAATCATGTTTACCTAAAAAAGTTATACCTACTTTAAGAATCTCGCAATAATTCAGCCTTTTCGAGATATGTACATTTAAATCTTTCAACGCTCTCAACAAAAAATAAGTACGTCCATAAACTATTTAAATTACTTTATTATACATCGAATCAATGGTAAAATACAAATGATGAATTAACTTAAAATTAAAGTTTAACCAGAAATAAAATTATCGATCGTTGCCAGCAAATCTTCGACATGACTTCCATCTCCCAACACAATTTATAATTCTTTTAATGAAATATCACCGGACCTCAAAAATAATCGCTCATTTCGAAATGATTCAGCAGCATTTTGAATTTTTCTCTTGTGTTTAATGTATTTTCGCAAACAATTGATTTCATATATCCCCATACGCAAAAATCTAATGGGTTGAAATCTGGACTTCGTGCGGGCCATGGTCTTCGACTCTCACGTCCTATCCAGATAGAATTAGCGTCAGGATATTCTCTCACCGCTCTAGCAAAGTACGCGGAAGCACCATCTTGCATAAAAACCATATCTCGGCGCAGATTTAAAGGTAATTCTTCTAAATAATCAATGGGTTTTGTTTTTAATAAGTTTAAATATAATTCTCCGTTTAGATTTGGAGGTAACTCGTATGACCCAAAAAAAAATCTATTACACACCCCAAATATTAATTTTGAGTTCGTGTTGGGGGATCTTGATTTTGTTGAGCCTGCAAGTAGCGGGCGAAATGTAGTCTTGCTGATCTGCATCCAAAAAAATTTATACAGGCGTAAAATGATATGAATTCATCTACTAATTTCGGTTCTTGCTGCCATACGCTTATTTCTGGATCTTCAGCAACCTAGAATACCGCACTTCTTCTTGCTCCACATTATGCCTACGAAGTTAAAAAAAAGACCGAAAATGTTGCTGGTAGTGTCCTCTAATAGATAATTTGAAAAAGATCAATTTTTATATTTGCCATACAAACAGCCCTCATATGCCAAATTTTGTTAAAAACGAAGAATGAATGCTAAATTTATGACCAAAATTCAGAAAAATTACAATAAGTTTATCACTCTGTATCTTGGTTGCCTTTGACTTTCGCACTACGAAAATTTAACATAATCTCAATATTTCTTCGAAAGGAATCTGCTTCTAAATTATACTAAGTGACATATAAATTCGAACACCCAGTTTAAATGGTTTTATTTTAATAAAAGTTGGTGAATGTATTTATCTTACTGTAAATAACAAGTGAAAAAATTGTCAGCCTTATCAGTTGGACATTCCGGTTTTTATACTACTTTTTTTAATTCACTAACGCTCTAAAAATGAATATTTCAGCCGCAGTAAAGAATCAACGTTGGCGGATTTTGGTTCTTGACATCCTTTACGATCGGTTACGATGCCTAGAGTACGGAGACCTGTACGATTTCGTCAACTTAGTGAGTTTGATAGGGGCCGTATAGTGGGACTTCGGGAAGCTGGACTTTCTTTTCGGGCAATTGCAGTTAGAGTGCAAAGAAGTGTAGACACTGTGGTTAGGTGTTGTCAGGCCTGGCTTCGAGAAGGTCGTACGCAAAGAGCAAGGGGCACTGGACGCCGCCGTAGAACAACAGACCGTGAAGATCGCCGCCTAAGATTATTGGCCTTAAGGGACCGTTTCTCCACTACCAGGTCCATTGCAAATGAATGGTTTGCAGAACACGGAAGACCTATTGGCATGCGAAGTGTTTACCGACGAATGAGAAGTTTTGGCTTGTTTTCATACCGGCCACACTGGGTCCTCCCTTTAACTCGAGAACACCGACGTAATCGCCCGTGGTGCAGACAACGGTCACTCTGGGATCAGAAATGGAACAGTATTGTCTTTAGTGACGAGTCTCGATTTTGTTTAGGCATGCACGATGGTCGTGCCAGGGTTAGAAGGCGACGTGGTGAAAGGAGGAATCCACAGTTTTTGTTGAAAGACATGTTCATCACACTGTTGGAGTTATGGTTTGGGGTGCTATAGCTTATGGTTCCAGGTCACCTTTAATCTTCATCAGAGGTAACATGAACGCGCAGAGTTATATCCACGAAGTTCTAGAACCTCATCTTTTACCCTATCTTGACACCCTGGCTGATCCAACTTTCCAATAAGATAATGCCCGACCACATGCTGCAAGAGTCACAATAGACTTCTTTCAACATAATGATGTCACATTGTTACCATGGCCACCAAGGTCTCCCGACTTATCCCCAATTGACCACGTGTGGGATATGATGGTAGGAGATTGCTCATTTGCAACGTCCTCCTCAGACTCTAGAAGCACTTCGAGAGGAGTTGGTGGTTGCCTGGAATGAGATACCACAGGAGGACATTGACCACCTGATCAGAAGCATGCCTAGGCGCGTTGGAGAATGCGTAGCACATCAGGGTGCATCCACACATTATTAAAGGTCAAATGGCTTTAAAGAAGTGCAATCATTTTGAAATGTTCATCATTTACTTATTATGCTTTATTAAGTACTTATACAAAATTTTATTAAAATAAAACCATCTAAACTGGGTGTTCGGATTTATATGTCACTTGGTATATTTACCATTACTATGAACGATCTTTTGTGAATCTTGTGCTGAGGATCTGTGTAGTTCAATTTTGATCCAATATTCAGATGATGAACATCTCTGCGAGATATGAAATGTTTATATACCAGCCCACAGCAGCTCTTTTGAACCAGTCGTATTTTTGATATACGAGCATTAGTCAAAATGTCATCAAGGTTTCTCAAAATGTTTTCCTTGATTTTCTTGTTCGAAAATGTCGACTGGTATGATTGATTCTTAGAGAACTGAATGCTTTATTTCCTGGAGTTTGAGTGCGCTCAGAATCGCGCAGGAACAATCTTAGCTTACCATAATCCGCTGGGTTGTGATAACTGGGACAATTCAACCCATACTTGATAAGAACGGCACGAGTCCCATGACCGGCCCCCTATATATGCACTGTCCCTCCGCCAGCATATACAGATGGTCAAACATCTCGAAGAGCCTCGCGGAAGGCTGATGGATGGTACAAATGATAGTCCTACCGCCCCTCGCTAGGGATTTCAACAAACAGAGACACTGAAAACACGAGGAACTGTCCAAACCGCTGGTCGGTTCATCGAAAAACATCACTGGTGGGTTGTTGACTAGCTCCAATGCGATGGAGAGACGTTTTCTCTGACCTCCTGATAGACTCGAGGAATTTGTGTCTATGCAGTCTTGTAGTCCTAGTGTCTGTGAATAGAGATAAAATAAAACATGAAAATAGTTGGCGAAAAAAGAACTACAAAGTATACAGTAGAAGGATTTTCTAATGTGAAAATCCCATTCTGTCACGGAATTTAGCTGAAACAGGCTCAAAAATACAGGTCATCTATTCACTTCGATGTACTTGTTACGCTCAATATATACTAAGTGACATATAAATCCGAACACCCAGTTTAAATGGTTTTATTTTAATAAAAGTTGGTGAATGTATTTATCTTACTGTAAATAACAAGTGAAAAAATTGTCAGCCTTATCAATTGGACATTCCGGTTTTTATACTGCTTTTTTTTAATTCACTAACGCTCTAAAAATGAATATTTCAGCCGCAGTAAAGAATCAACGTTGGCGGATTTTGGTTCTTGACATCCTTTACGATCGGTTACGATGCCTAGAGTACGGAGACCTGTACGATTTCGTCAACTTAGTGAGTTTGATAGGGGCCGTATAGTGGGACTTCGGGAAGCTGGACTTTCTTTTCGGTCAATTGCAGTTAGAGTGCAAAGAAGTGTAGACACTGTGGTTAGGTGTTGTCAGGCATGGCTTCGAGAAGGCTGTACGCAAAGAGCAAGGGGCACTGGACGCCGCCGTAGAACAACAGACCGTGAAGATCGCCGCCTAAGATTATTGGCCTTAAGGGACCGGTTCTCCACTACCAGGTCCATTGCAAATGAATGGTTTGCAGAACACGGAAGACCTATTGGCATGCGAAGTGTTTACCGACGAAGGAGAAGTTTTGGTTTGTTTTCATACCGGCCACACTGGGTCCTCCCTTTAACTCGAGAACACCGACGTAATCGCCTTGAGTGATGCAGACAACGGTCACTCTGGGATCAGGAATGGAACAGTATTGTCTTTAGTGACGAGTCTCGATTTTTTTTAGGCATGCACGATGGTCGTGCCAGGGTTAGAAGGAGGAATCCACAGTTTTTTGTTGAAAGACATGTTAATCACACTGTTGGAGTTCTGGTTTGGCTATAGCTTATGGTTCCAGGTCACCTTTAATCTTCATCAGAGGTAACATGAACGCGCAGCGTTTTATCCACGAAGTTCTAGAACCCCATCTTTTACCCTATCTTGACACCCTGGCAGATCTAACTTTCCAACAAGATAATGCCCGACCACATGTTGCAAGAGTCACAATAGACTTCTTTCAACATAATGATGTCACATTGTTACCATGGCCACCAAGATCTCCCGACTCATCCCCAATTGAGCACGTGTGGGATATGATGGGTAGGAGATTGCTCAATTTGCAACGTCCTCCTCAGACTCTAGAATCACTTCGAGAGGGGTTGGTGGCTGCCTGGAATGAGATACCACAGGAGGACATTGACCACCTGATCAGAAGCATGCCTAGGCGCGTTGGAGAATGCGTAGCACATCAGGGTGCATCCACTCATTATTAAAGGTCAAAGGGCTTTAAAGCAGTGCAATCATTTTGAAATTTTTAGCATTTACTTATTATGTTCATTAAGTACTTATACAAAATTTTATTAAAATAAAACCATTTAAACTGGGTGTTCGGATTTATATGTCACTTAGTATACTTATAAAGACTTCTCTTTATACAGATGTTGACCCTGAATTTTTGAAAAAAAGCAATTGTTGTTCCCATACAAAGGGTGTCTCAAATTCGACCATCAATATTCCTCGGAAACAGTAAGAGATAAGAAGTCGCTCAAATAAAGGAAAAGTTACGTATTTAGGTAACTAACAAAATATCGCTTAGAAAGGTTCGAAATTCAATATACTTCCGGAGAGAGACTGAAAAAACAAATTTTCCCAAAATCGTTTCAATGTTTCGTGACTTTATTTTAGTGGGATCTTAAGATAATTTGCACATTAACATTGCCTTTTTTCTTCTCTATACGATGGCATCAACTTTATTTGTTCTTATGGACGCCGTATTGGAATTTTGTGCAGATAATCAGTTTTCAATTCTGATTTCACAAAAGGTGTCATATGTCATACATTAGCATTGCCAAACCGTAGTCTTTCAAGAAAAACAAGTTCCCAGGTAGGCCTTGAAATCATCAGATAGTCATTTGTTTCGTATACCAACCAGACGTTAAATTGAACATAGCAACACAGTTTGAAAGACTAGGAAGGGAAATAAATCGAGCACTTAAACAATGTACTGAGAAGAGCCAGGCTTTGCCTACAAAATAGCGAACAACATTTTGAACATTTGCTATGATTTATCTCTGACTATTTATGATTATTATTGGTATTACCAACAAGAAAATTTTCATTCTGCGTTGAGGTTTCACCATACCCTTTGATCTCCTTATATGTTCATGCAACAACAAATTCATGGCCAGCTAAGGAAATATGGCACTGATGTAACCAAAAAGCCCATTGAAATGTATAAAATTTCAATATAGCGTCCATATGAAAGACGAAAATGGTGACGGAAGTCAAAATGCAATTTATTTTGAAATCCCATCAAAAATAAAAACGATTTTGGGATAAATCCAGCATACGAAACAAATGACTATCTGACAATTTCAAGGCTCACCTTGGACATTTTTTGAAATAATTAATGTTTGCGATGTCAATGCATGTATTTTTGGAATCAGGGTTGAAAACTCTATTCATATGTGTAAACCTCCAATATGGCGTCGGTAATAAAGTTGCTAGCGGACAAGAGACGAACATCATATTTAATTTCGGATTATGCTGTTTTACAGAGAAAGAAAATTAGCAATGTTATGTGCAATTTATTTTAAAATTTCACTAGGTACAAATAAAGTCAGGAAAAACTTTGGGATTTTTTCCGTCTATCTCCGGAAGTACTTTGAATTTTGCTAATTACCTAGATACGTAACTTTATTTCCTTTAAGCGACTTCGTGACTCTTGCAGTTTCTGAGATCCCAAAGGTGGTTGAATTCGAAACACTTGCCAAAAGTTTTGGAAAATAGTTGAAATTAGATTTAGAGAAGTTCTTAAAGTCAACAAATTATAGGCGACAACGAATTTGGAATTCAAAGAGCAAAAAAATATCATGAATGCAATTTTTACAATACTGCATCGGTTTATACTTAAATTTAAGCTATAAACATATTCAGTTGCTCTTTTTGCGACTCTTCTGAAGCTTTAGACTGTGTGAATCATGATATACTCGTACTATCGAAAAATTTAACAGCCTCACTCGTTTTGTTTAAAGCACATTTACATAATGGATCCCAAATTGGATAATTATCAAGATATTATACAGGGTGGCCAATATATAACTGACTGATTTAAATTGCGCGCCATTTTTGATACAAACACTTCAGTTGGTGATTTTTCTTCGTCAGAATATTCTTCTTCTGAAGCTTCCTCAACCGAAGAATCTCCCGAGATCCCGCATTGCACACCAGCAGAGCTTCAAGGTCATTATGAAGACCTCAAGGTGCGTAAACTGCCTGGGGAGGATCAAATCACTAATAAAGCGCTGAAGCTGCTTTCGCGGAAGTCCTTAACTTATCTCGTGGCACTAGTCAATGCCATGCTAAGGATCCAGTACTTCCCATCCACGTGGAAGACCGCTGAAGTTATAATGATTCCATAGAAGGTGGGTTCGATATTTCCCCAGGATTATCGTCCCATTAGCCTGCTGTCAGCTCCGTCTAAGCTCGCTGAAAATGTGATTCTAGAGAATTCTCGTCAGATCACCATGTGATTCCTGACGTGCAATTCGATTTTCGGTCTGACATAGTACGGAGCTACAGGCGGTTAGGCTGGTAGAACGAGTAACCAGAGGATTCACCCTTAACTAAAGTACTGGCATCTCGCTTTTGGATGTCTCAAAAGCATTTGACAAGGTATGGCACGCGGGCCTCCTGTATAAACTAATCCAAAAGGGCTTCCCCTTTTGGCTTCTAAAACTACTAAAATCTTTCCTTGAAGGTAGGAAATTTCGGATCAAAATTGACAATGTCCTGCGACATCACGGCTGATTACAGCCGGCGTCCCTCAGAGTTCGGTCTTGGACCTATCCTTTACTCACTGTACATCCATGACGTCCCTACCCCAGCAACTGTAAAGTCTATCTCTATGCTGACGATACTGCATTGGTGGCTCAGTCGTGGTCTGGTCACCTAGTACATGACAGGCTGCAAAGTGCGGGGCAAGAAGTATTAGATTGGGCGGATCGGTGGCTAATTAAAATTAACCGTTGGAAAACGCAGGCAATCTACTGCGGCATTCCGTCTGAAGTTTCAATCAATGGACTTCGTATGCTCCGCTAAGTATCTCGGTGTCCTTCTGGACAAAGGGATGACTTGGCGGAACCATATAGAAGCGCTAAAACTAAATTCCAAATTACGTTTCGACCGCTTTACCCATTATTATGTAAACGTTCAAATTAAGTTTGATTAACAAGATGCGACTCTATAAGGTGGTCATAAGACCAGCAATGACTTACGCATGTGCGGCTTGGTGTTTTATTGCTAAAACACACATGCGAAATCTGCAGGTTCTGCAAAGCAGGACGTTGCTGATGCCCCATGGCATGTCTCTAACGAAACTCTACATAGAGACCTCGCTGTCCCTTACCTAAAGGACTTCATTAAGCAACAGGCGCAGCGGCGCTATAGCCTAGCGGAATCGCACAGCAACCCTCTGTTGCGTGAGTCAGTGGACTACACAGTCGAGCAAGTTCGCAAGCACAAAAGGCCGCGGCTCGCACTGTAATCAAAATTAACTCGTGAACTTAGAACAACCAAAATTGGAGCATTTTTACACAATCTTTAGAAAAAATCAAATATTTTTAGACCATATCAAAATCTGTGAAGTGATTTTAACAATGCCTAAACGCTGCCTATCCTAAAAGATTATCTTCTTCCCCTTCGCTCTTGTTCTTCCTTCTCTCCTTTCCATCCCTTTTTTTCCTTAGAATTGTCTGGTTTCTGGGTTACCAAACCTGACAGACAAACTGGCACTGAGACTCAAGAGCTAAGGTCCCACGGACCGCTCTGACAACCAACGATGACTTGAAGGAGCGCTACACGGTCCCACAACGCGTTTGTATTCTTAAAACATTTTACTTAAATAATGAGTCGATTGTTGCAACGATTCGGAAGCTACAACAAGATTTCGATCATGTGACCAGTGTCAACACCATTCGTCAGTAGGTGCGGAGATTTGACCAAACAGTTGAACCTAAAGACTTGCCAAGGTCGGGCAGTATTCGAACTGTTCGGAAAATATCGAGAGAGTTCGTAAAAGTGTAGAGGAGCGCCCTGAGACGTCTACCAGATATCGTTCTCAACAACTGGGTATTCGCCGCACGTCATTTTGCGCTATTTTTAAAAAATACTTGCATTTGTGACCATGAAATTCGCCGACAATACAGTGATGCAATATTGCAGCTTAATACCCAAAATAACGATTTTACCGACAACTGACATAAACGATGAAGCCCGCGTCGATATGAACGGATTTGTTAATAAGCAGAATTGTCGTATTTGGACATTTGAGAACCCTCGTGTCATCCATCAACGACCACTACATCCTCGCCGCGTCACAGTATGGTGCGGTATTTCGTATGGAGGTATCATTGGACCTTACTTTTTTGAAGACGCTGCAGGTAATTCTCTTACTGTCACTGACGAGCGCTACCGTGATATGGTGCAAAACTTTCTCGCTCCTCAAACAGAACAATTTAGTCTGCAAAACATGTGGATGGAGCAACTTGTCACTCGGCTAGAGAAGCAATTAATCTTTTGCGAACAATATTTCCGCGACCGTTTAATTTCTCGGTTTGGTGATATCAACTGGCCACCAAGGTCACCCGATAACTTTATGGGGATTTTTGAAAAATACGTTTATAATAATAACAGACGTCTTTATTTATCCACAATTACATTGTAGTATAGCCAAATGTCAGACTTATATGGCGAAGTTTAGCATGCTGCTACTCTTACACTTAACCATATAGTCTCTAGCAGATGTTCAAAAGAATACACTATCCACAAACAGATTTGGTTCATTACATCGAAAGTAAAATTTAAAAAAAGAGAAAAAGGCATACTTTCCAACCCAAATGCACCAAAAAATTATTAATCTGAATTAAAGATGGAATAAAAAAGAAATGAATGATTACGTAAATTATATGTGTGGAGGGTTGAGTAATAATGTTGTAACTTTTTGTCGAAAGACAGGTAATGAAAATTCTTTATATACTTTAGGAAGGTCATTATAAATAATAGCAACATTGTAAGAAAAACTGCGTTTAAAAAGTGTAGACGTATGCAGGGGTATTCTAATATTATTTTCTCTGAGAGTTCTACAGTGAACATCATTATTAAATGAATTTTTTTCCTTTAAGTAATAAGGTTTAGACGTGAGCAGCAATTTGTGAACAAAAACTGAATAGTGATACTTGACCATGTCATTAATTTTTAACCAGTTTAGAACGGGATATTTCGCTGATACATGATCAAATTTACGTAAGCCAAAAATGAATCGTATACAATTGTTTTGAATAACTTGAATAACGTTTTAGTGAAATTGTCTAAACAAGTATAGTATACGATATTACAGTAATTTAGTATAGATATGACCAATGCTTCACATAGTTTTTTACGCATCTTAAAATTTAGTAAATACTCGTACCTGTTTGCTATAAGAGTGCGCAGCCGTAGGTAGGTTTTCTGAGATAGACTTTTAACACGTTCAATAAACCTTAATTTTGTATCAAAAACAACACCAAGAATTTTTGCAAAATCAGAAAATTGCAAGATTTGGTTATTATCTGAATGTTCAAGAGCTGCGTTACATTGTATGTTTTTCTTTGTGCGCAAAATAATAACATTTTAGATTTTTGTGGATTAATAAGTAGATTGTGATCTAAAGAGTATTTAATTAATTTATTAACATCGTTTTGTAAAATTTGAGTAGTATTATTGACATTATCTGGGTTAAAATAATGAAGCAATTGCGTATCGTCTGCAAATGACTGGACATGAGAATTATCAATACTTTTGCTTAAGTCGAACGTATACATGAGGAACAGAAGCGGCCCCAATACAGAGCCCTGAGGTACGCCTGAGGGAATTATTGTCACTTGAGACATTTCTTGATTGAGAAAAACACACTGAGTTCTTTGATAAAGGTAACTGTCGAAAAATGAAAGGGATACACTGTCAAGACCTATGTAATTTAATTTAGCAAGTAATAATTTATGATGGATGCTGTCAAAGGCTTTCGAATAGTCTATAGAGATTAAGGCTAGTGCCATTTTCTAAGGCACTTAAATATTGTCTTGCAGATTAAGTAGGGCAGATGTTGTACTATAATTTTTTCTAAATCCGGATTGAGTGTCGGAAAGTATAAAGAATTTTTCTAGGTAAGCGGTCAATTGGAACTTTATAATTTTTTCTAAAATTTTTGATAAAATTGGTAATAAACTGATAAGTCTGAGATGATTATACTCAGTCGGTTTCATTTTTTTTAGGAATTGGAATAATTAGAGCTTGTTTCCATGTGTTTGGAAAGTAGCCTTTTTCCAAACAGTCGTTGAATATGTGGACGACGTGATGGAGAATAACTGGCAGGCAAAGCTGGATCATTGACAGGGATATACCATCAATTCCCTTCGCATCAGATTTTAGGCTACCTATTGTCTGTAATACGTCATTTGAACTAATCTTATTCAATGAAAAAATATATTCAAAATATATCACAAACTAAATACTGTAGATCGGCTGAAGAACAATATTACGGAAGCGACTCAAAATATTCCTCCCGAAACCTACCAAAAAGTAATGGTAATGTAATCAAGAGTGCTTAGGTTTGCGCGGACATTTGTCTGACATTATTTTTCATACATAATTTCTAAGTTTCAATAAAAGATTAAGATGGAAAAAGTAACGTATTTTATTTGATTTTACAAATATTCAAGCCAGTTACATATCGGCCACCCTATATTTTAAACAAATTGCATAACAGAGAGTGCTACTAAATTTAGACAATAACTGCAGCTGACATGTGGCATGTCAAAGGTTGTCAATTATACAGGGTGACTTTGAAGTTGAGTCATTAGTTTTCAGATAATGATTGTAGAAGGAAGATAAACCAAAATATGTGTGTAAAAATAAAAAAAAAATATTTACCTTGTTTTATAAAGTATATCCTCCCAACAAGTATTTCAGTGCGGACCTGTATTTGATCGTGAGGTCTTGGAGCACCGGCATGCTCTCTCCTGTGAGGTCTTAAGTCACCTGATTCACGAGCCCGTTGTACTACATTAACAAAGGCACGAGGGGTTGGTTGCACTCGATTGGGAAACCGATCCGCATAAACATGTGCCATTTTTCATTTCGTTTGAGCCACGCAGCAAACACCACTATTCACTCACGCGTTACCGACTGACACATCGACTAAATAAAAACATCGTGATCAGCGTTTCAAATTCTTTCGCTTTTTTGTTTCCGATGGGATGAACCGATAAGGCGGATTATATCCGTTGCTGCCAAACACGAGCACATAATATTATTATTGAGACAGGGCGGTACTCAAACTTCTAAAGGGCTATAACTTTGTTACTTTAATTTTACCACAAAAATGTTAAAGGAAAAAAACGTTTCTTTTGATCAGATCTACTCACTGTTAAAATAAATGACTCAACTTCGAAGAAATCCTGTATATGTCCAGTTGTTCTATTTTCCACAATACAGAATTTCGTTAACATACTGTATCACTAACTGAATCTGTCAATAATTATAATAAATCCTATCAGCTTTCTATTCAGATACCTACCTCTAAAATCTCATTGATAACGATTTTCTTATCCGCCTGCGTGATGCCTTTACCTAATTTGAGATTCGCTGAGACCTGCATGGCCTCCTTGACGGTTAAATGAGGTGACAGGCAGTCGTCTTGCATTATGTAGCAGGACATCTTTCTGAATCGCCTCAGACTTCGCTCTTTACCGTTGATATTCACATGGCCATCTAGATTCGACGTTCTGGAAACAGTGAATCGATCAGGTTGAAGAACTCGATATATTCGAAATGTTCGATTTGAATCGGATTGCTTCGAGAATTTCATGTTTCTCGTCATCTGTTGTACTACTTCTTCCATTTACATTCGAAAAATGCCTTTATTCTGTAGGTAGAATGAAAAAAGTCTTCACTGCCCAAAAGTAAAGTTATGTGTGATAACGCGTTATCAATGGGCATAATTCAGGGGCCTGGAAGTAAAAGGGTTTTAAGTACATTTTTAGTAGTTCTGAGATAAATGGCTTCAAAGTGTACTTGAATTTGAAAATTCCAGGAATAATTTATCAAAGTATGATACTATATTAAGTTTATTTAAATGCCAATAAAACATTACAAACAAAAAAATTTTTCTTAATTTTGCTTTTTGATTGTCATTTTTGCAAAAATGTACTTGAATCATTATACATGTTACAAAAATTATGGTGGTAACATGATTGAAGTGCAACTACCGTACTAAACCAAACATTATTTAAAATAATCTATAACAAAATTCCTTATTCATAATCAGAATCTAATATTTGGATGTCTTCATCATTTTCTTCATCTGAATCAGCTGGTATTGGTTGGAGTTCATCTATATTAGGTACTTTTGGCTTGATGTCAGGGTCTGTGTTTGTTTCTTTTTTTCTTTTTTTGTTAATGCTTTCCCATCGTGCTTCATGTTTTTATAAAATGTATGGTGAATGGTCCAATAAGCTAAGCAAGTTTTTGTACTTGGCGACTTTAATCTTTATTGAAGTACCATTCAAAGGCTTTAGTATTGAAAAGTTAAAACACGGACGCCCAACTTTTGAGGTTGCCATTAAGCAACTGCTAAACTCTACATCAATGTTTAGGGTACTCTTGTATCGAAATGTTAGTCTTTATAGTAAGCAAACCAGCAAATTTCTTTCCATTTTAAGGGGTGACCGTCACTATATTTTGGATCGTTCATAATTTCATTGAACGACGAAAAATAGTAAAAATGGTCTTTGTTCATATTGTACACAATAAATTTGGCCGATGTGCTTCTTATTACAGTCTCCAATCTCCGGGACAAAAACTTGAGGGATTTGCCTTCTTTCTTCTCGATTAAGCCAAAACTACGGTCACATTCCATGCAAGTGTGCCCG